TTATAATTTTATAATCATAATATAATATTAAACAAGTAAATAGTAAAATTTTAAATGAAATGAGTCAATTATATAAAGACACATTATAAGCAAGTTTATAATACATTATTTTAAAAATATAAATGTGATCATTTTTGTTATTTTTTCATCATACTTTATTCAAATAAATAATTTTAATATATTTTTTTATCTTAATTTTTTAAAAATAAAGGTAAATCAACACCACCCTCTTAAAATTTTAAAATAAAAAAATTAAAAGAAAGGTTAGTCTAAACTCTGTCGCCTGGATTGGACGACCCCAGCTCAATCAAAAAGCTCAACTATATAATATTTCATCAGGTAAATATTAATTTCCTCTTCACTCTGAATTTTTTTATTTTTTATTTCTGACACAAAAGTATTAAATGATGATAAATATTTTTATATAACAAACTATCTGTATTTTTCTTTTAGCCCAAGAAAAATATTGCTAGTTAAACTTGCTAGTCAAGGTCTTTGTCCTTCGTAATATTTGGGCAAATGCTTTAGGCTATTACACAATGAAAGTTCCAAACTTCAGATGATGAGTACGCGTTAAAGAAAATAAGGACCACTTGTGGTATTCCCCTTTAATGCTGACATTAGGTATATCCCATGTCTTCAATGTAAATCAACGTCAATGTTATAAGTCGAGGTCTTTGCCATCTATAATACGAAAATTAATAAAGAGAGGTTGAATTGTGATTTGATTTGCTGTGATATGGTCTTTATGGTTGGTAAGGAATGAGATTATTTTCATTTTCCAGAACAAGGAGACTCAAGAACACAAAATTGTTGGAATTGATTCAAATCCGATCTTTCCGCTGGGTAAGAAGCAAGATGGGAATGGAGGATATCTCGTTAACGGAATGGAGCAACAATCCAGTACTGTGTTAATTTGGAAACAAAGAAATTGGGTTGGAAAGATAATATAATCGAGGTTTGATTAGAATTTTGTGGGTGATGAAATAGATTGAATTTATTTACAACGTATTGTATATATAGATAGATCATAGGAGTATCTTTCTTTTTATTTTTTTTTTTTTGCAACAGGTGTTCCAAAATCTAGGAAATTTGTTGTGAAAACCTATAGTTGGTATTTTATTAAAGGAAAAAAGAAAGTTACAATACTAACAAGTTTTGATTAAATATTAATTGTTAAGTTTTTGGCGGTAGAAGCAATAGAAAAAAAATACTGCCCAACAAAAATACTGCTTAGTTGAAATTGTGGCGCGGTTATAATCACTAATAATTATGTTTTAATTACTAAAATTTTAAAATATGGTTTTTAATAATATTAATTTTTAATTTAATTAATAAAATAATTATAATTATTAATTAATAAATAATTAATATTTATTAATTAATA